ACGCGGCCGAAAAATCCAAAACGCGCGCTGTCGTCAATGGGTTAATTGATTTCTTTACGCTCATGTTAAGTTTGAACGATCTAGGGGTAGCTATCGAGGGACTGTACCACATATGCAATTTTCAGGAACTTTTGGCTGGAGAAGTTGGGGCAGGATGTTCAACCATACGTGAATTTGATAAAATTCTTGATGGGACTCTTTCAGATCTTTTAACTTTTGAACTCGGAAATTCTATTTTTAGGTCTTCGACCCTATGAGCCCTACCCGAGAACACATAACTCAAATTGTCTGTAAAACTCGTAGAAAACTATTCGGAAGTAGTAGCCTGTCTCAAGAACAAATACGGAGTCAGCGATTCGAGATTTGAAGATTTTCTAGCCAAACTTCACAAATGCAGAATGGAAGGACAGAACACAAAGTCTCAAATAGCATTAAACGCTTGCTAGAATCTACCTTTCTGCATATAGCGAGAAAACCTCGGAAAATTCTTTTCTTCGAAACTAGTATATGGAAATTGAGTTTGCGCTGCTCGCTTGGAAAGTTTTATAAGAATTTTTCTCTCAAAAACGCATATTAAGGCTCGTCAAGTAAAAAGTGATTGTAATGGAACCTCCATTAGAATGAAGAACATACTGAGTATGGTACAACAGTGAAGGACGTCACTGTACATAGCGATCAGAACGGCTACTGTAACGGCGAACATCGCTGGCAACACCTGAGGGAATGGCAGCGTTAAGATCACAAGTCATCTAACTGCAACCATGTGAAAAAGTATTTGCCTAGGGGGAGGGAGTTCATTCATGTCGAGTTTGCTTAATGGTGCCATTCCACAAATGAACTATGAGTAACTATTTGAACGACTCGGAGAGTAAAGTTCAACGGGTAGTTAGTAGTACCTCTTCTGAAATTCTGAATAAAGAGTAGTAATGGAATCTCAAAAGCCCATTGAAAGCACTGTTCACGATAATTTTGGGTAGTCCAGATTACGATGAAAAATGGAAGACAAGATCGAAACTAGTGCGATTGAGGTGAAGAAAATGCGTCAGTGTTTCCAACGTGAAAAAAGGCTTCCAAAAACCGTCAGAAAGGGGGCTGGACGAGAATGAAACAAGAAAAATGAAGAAGAGTGGGGCATTTGGAGGAGCTAAACAGTGTGTTTCACTGCGCGCGTGTGGGTCCTGGTGCGAATAACAGACAATGTTAAGCAAAAATTCATCAGCTTATAAGCATAAATAAACAAAAAGAAACCTCAGTAACAGCAATAGTAGCTGACCTTTTTCAGCCTCTAGGAGTAGGAAATTAAGGGATCACGACAGCAAAAAGAAAAACAGAGGAAAAAAGAATGGAAAGAAAACGTCGCCTCATCACTCGGCGATTAGAGTGCGTGGGTCCTAGAACGAATAGCAGCAATCTGTATTGTCTCGACACTCGTCTAACGTGACACCGATCGAGGGGCGGGAACGCGAACTACGGCAACAACGGGGCTGCCACTATGCCCTAAGCGCCGAGATTGGGGGAGTGAGCGGGCCCCTTCTACAACCCAGGGGGTCGCTGAGTATAAATAAGGTAAGAACTCAATAACCTTTTTTATCGTGCACCGTGCCTTTATAGATGCGAAGAAAACACATTAAAGCCTATCCTCCTACTGACCCGTGAAGAGCATTCCGAGATCTCTTCATGTTTGTCCAGCCTTAGAAGGTCTTTTCCTCTTTCCTCCTCTATCACAAAATTTTTAAAAAATTTCTATGTTGCTGAACACCTTTTAAATAAGATTTTTTAGAACTTCACGTTATTCCTAAAATTTAGAATTTCGATTCGAGGGGAGAGGGGGGAGTGGAGAAGGGGTGAAAAGCATCTATTTATTTCATAAATATCCCATCTACGACTTCTACTCGGATCTCTTCGACAGTCACGTCCACCTGCCTACCTAGCATCATAAGCAAGACGGAAACGCCGTCTTTTCAGTTCTCCTTCCGAAATTCGACATGCCATCACTTCCATGAGGAATCGTACGAAGTCCGGCTCTGACCGGATCAAAGCGAAACATCTAGTGGGCCTTCCGCCCGTTGCTGTCAAATCCCTGGCTCGGCTCTTCACGCGGTATGCAGAGTACTTAGTGCCCACTTCGTGGAGAACTAGAAGACTGTGTTCTATACAAGAAGGGAAGGAGACGATATTGACGATTATCGCTTAATCTTTTGGCATAGTATCGTTGGTACAGGTGATACGTGTAATACTGCATCAACGGTACTACGCCACGCAATGGTCAGGAATGCTCCCCACATACGACTTCCATTCAGACTCGTAGTGAGTTAGTGAATGCGTACGTAGCCTATAGGATGGCTTCAAGGTCCGGTCGACGTAAGTTAGCGCAGTTTTCTCAAGATTTGTCTGGTACTCACTAGCTTACCCAGAAGAAGAGGAAGGCTCGCTTGGCCTAGGAGTATGCGGATTCGGGATTCACCCCGTAACCATGCTTGTGTGGTAGTACGACACCCCTCACTGAACCACCTTCGCCATCTTGAAGAGTTACTATCTATATTTCAAAAGGACTTTTATTGATAGGCTAGGCTCCTGAACACTTAATGGTTAACGTCGAACTGATAAAAAATTCCTTCAGTTTGAATTTTTTTTTTTGATTGAAATGTTTGTGAAGTAATGATATATTTCTAAAATGCACGCAATTACTTAATTGCTAACCCAACTTCCAGATCGACAATTTAATCTCTCAGACCATTTCAGCGTTGTTTGTTTGAAACTTACTCTGTAGGTAGAATGTTGTTGTGCTAATAGATGGCTTTCATATTCCAAGGCTTCCAAGAAAGGAAAATACCGAAGCGGAAGCCCAGCTGAAGTTGTAAATGAAAATAATGGTCGTTCACTCAAAGACATAGTTCACAACAATTTTGAGGTATCTACCTCAGGCGAATTATTAGAAAGCACATTTCAAAATCTTTCATTCCAGAATAATAGTGAAGCCATAGCGAAAAAAGAAGACTATAACAAATAGACAGCCTCAGAAAAGCAGAAAGAAAGAAGTTTGTACGACATTATGCGTCTGTAGCAGTCGGGTGTCTCCACATAAGCATACTATCAACCGATGTCCCAATGCTTCATCGTGATAGGCGCAGCCTCAACAAAATCGTCATATCACGGACACTATTAGATGTATTCGTAATCCAAGAAAGAACTTTTATGTGGCCCTCTCGAGGTCTTTGTTCGGCCCGACAATGTTCCACGTGCTATCCTCGGAAGTTACAGATTCATCCAGGGAGACATCTGGCCAGTTTTTCGTGAACTGTGCCTCCAGGAAACGGAAGTCGCAGCTTAGGGGAAATACCGGCGTTCGTGGAAAATTGAACCGGGATCTGGACACAGCCGTAACACCCTGAGGGTGCAAGGCATAGGTAGCGCTAGTGAGATTTTTCGCAGGACTCGACCCTGGGACTTGGCGTGTACAAGTTACCACTTGCTTGCCGTATCTCCTGATTTCCCTCTTTTTACAAGAGAATTTTTATCTGATTAAAAATCAGCTCTTTGAGTAGCACGTTCCATCAGCAGACATATTATATTTATTGGTTTATACTCGTTCTATCACAAAATAAGCACTAGAAAGTTGACAAGATTTGCAAGTTCAAGAAGAATAATTAAGGCTATGTTCGCAGGATTAGCATTAATGGTTTTCTCATCGTCGACCTCTTTCCTGAAAAAAATGTTCCGATTAAATTACATATTGCACAGCCGAGAATTTTGAGACCTACCCACTGTCCTTCTCGGCTTTAACCCATGAGCGTAGGCAGGAGGGTAATGGTAAGTGAGGCAGGAGTAGGACAATGAACAGTGAGGCAGTTATAAGCGCTAGATTGACCACAACATAAACACCTGTAAAATCAACTAAGATTTTCATATTCCGCAAAATGTTTATGGATTTTCTTATTTATGGTTTATTTTTTATCGATTGTTTTTTGTTTGTAGACAAAAATAATACCCACCTATCTTCGGTAACTCGTCAACTTTGGGCAATACGTCGGCGAGAATTCCGAGAATGAAAGTCAAGGACATTATATTTGTCAAGGCCATACCCAGCTGGAAAGTGCGCTTAGGTAAGTAATTCACAAAGTAAACAATACATTAAAGTTTAATAAAAAGTTAAAAATAATGTTGNGGGTCCTTTAGATTGTGGAGCACTTTGAAGTGTACCAATCTCGTTCCGCATTCGACTTCCATTCAGAGAGACAGTGGCCTCTTGAATCTATATGTACCATATGCAGTGAGTGGCGGTGGGCAGGTAATGTACAATCAGTGCATTTACCCTCCCAAAAAGGTTTTGTAACAGTTAAAGAACCCCAACGGGAAAGAATGCTCGGTTGAAGAAGGCATTATTGCCCGGAAATCTATCCCAAGACCATGAGTACCATGGTCTTGGGATGGCGACCATAGTCCTCCGCTCGTCGAATGCCTATGTCCATGTAGGTCAAACACTGGGAATTTCCCAGAAACAGGGTGAAACGAAGCTTATTCCTGAATGAGATTTATGTCAGAATGCGACTGGGACGTAAGTGGCCTTCCATTCTTACTATGGAACTGGGGATCTACTGATTCTGAAGCAATCTATGTCGGTTGGACAAGAATCGAGCCGGTACTCGAATTACGCGTTGGTAATGCGGCAGAGTAGCTCCTTGCAGTTGCCCCCACTTCCCCTCGTTCTTGAAGTACAGTCATAAATATTCTCCCACTCCACTTACCTGTGACATTTTGCTACTGCTCAGGAATAATCCAATGATACAGATGACGTTTATGATGAAAGATGGTATAATGACGATGGCTATATAGAATGAAGGATTTCTCTCCATGAAGAGGTCGAAGCTGCCCTCAAACATTGGTGATTTCTGGGAATCGTTACCGAACTCAAAATTACCAAAATTCGTTACCCTTTTCGGATTACTCTTTGAAGAAATTGGTAGTAATTTCAGTAAATTCTTGACTCACTATTTCAACAATAGATCCATCGTCAAACACGATTCTTTCTAATCCTGTAGTTAGAGATTTCATTTGCCATTCTCCATTACCCTGAAGAATCATCAACTTTCAGATTATCAGCTTGTTTGTCTCTACGTAGTTTCATGAAGAGAGCATGCTATATGTATGTATAGTATAACAACGAATAAGCCTTCAAGAGGCATTGATATCTTAGGAATTACTCAAAAGTATCTAGAGAAAGCAAGTGCATTTTCTCGAAGTTTCTCATTTTTATGATGCCACATTATAAAAATTGAGAGGGATTTATCTTCAGGTATCACTAACAATGGCCAAATTTCCTTGCAGTTGCCATGTCCTTGAATGTAACCGATTTCTGATGCAATACAATTTGGGGCAAGAAAAGACTTCTGATTCTTGTTTTTTTTTATTTCAAATTCCCAAATAAGTAAAGGACGGAGGTAGAGTAGTGGCAAGATGCGACAAGATTCATACACGCAGGATCACGGTTCGGATCCCGGATCAGTATCCGGCTTAGCCACTCGAACCTTCCATCCCTCCGGAGCTGGTCTAATTGATACCAAACTTGTTTAGAAGGATAAAGTAAATATTCGAATAAAATTTTGTGCAAAGGATATACCATATCTTTGAGTGGTGAGGCTTTTTCGATTGTTGGAGGAATCACCATGTTAATACCGTATTCAGTTGCTCGAAACGAATGTGTCATCATTTTGATGGAACATGTCTGGCTGTCGAATGGGAAGTCGCGAACCTTAAAAAAGTTCTGTGAGTCATCACTACTTTTTATCTCGAATACCACAACAATTATGAATCACCAGGATCTTCTGCTCTGGAAAAAAAATATTTTTACTCAGGAGGGTGGAGAAAGCCAGAAGATAGGAAGATATGGCTGAACATTTGTCATTGCAGTCCTCTTTAAAACAGTAACCCTTGTATCTATTAGGTGTGGAGGTAGAAAGGGGTACAGTCGACCTGGTACAGCCATTGGCCTCTGAGCAGAAGTTAGTATCCGTATCGAGTCCCACTCACCCCAATTCATGCCTCTTCCCAGAATTTTCTTTCTTTTTCCCTATCTCTTCTGCTCTGCAAATTTTTGCTTATCGGATCAGTTGAGTGGGGAAAAACACTGAAACGCTGTGTTGGGTGACGATATAAGTTGAACACTGATGCGAATTCCACATGTCGTGACTTTGCGTGGCTCTCTCAAGATGATTTGCATCGGCGATGGAGCCAGCGCGCAGTCCCTTGTGGGTAGTTCAAGTGCACCTGCGAATGTTTGGAGGTGTATTATCTTAGATCTGACGTGGGAACAGGTTAGGGCCCTCCAACCCTCTGGAACAAGATGGCTTCGAGCACAGAGTGTGACGTAAATCCGAGATGAAGAACTAAACAGCTGATGTAAGTAGCTGGAGCTTTGACGAGGGGACTGGTGGACACGAGACGAAGAGCGACGGAGTGGAGTACGAGCCATGAGCTAATGAGCGAGAAATAACCATGGGAAATCATCAGTACTCCTTGTAATTAAACCAACTGAATACAAGGAATAAACGGTACTACATATTATAACGTTTCTTCCAAAGCTTTCGTGAAGTCTGATCATCTCGTTGGTGGCCGTCATGGAGTTCGTTCGATATCTCGAGGGATCCAGTCAGTAACCGTCCTGGTCCAACGGTCATCACTATATTGCAATACGTGTCCGGCCCACCTGATCTTCTATTTCTTGGCGTAAAGAACGGCATCCCTGATCTTCGTTCGACGACGGAGCTCGGAACTGCAGATTCCCTTCTGCATTTGCTTGTGTAGGGAAATTCCGAGCATCTTCCTTTCCATAGCGCGCTGAATGATGCTAAATCCATGCTCATCCTGCTTTCGTTGAGTTCGAGTCTCCGAGGCGTACGTCAAAACAGGAAGGACAGCAGTGTCGAAAAGGTGAGTGCGGATCCGGATGTTCTTTGTCTCCACCACTCCCACGACATTTTTAAATGCTCCCCACGTGGCGCGTTTCCTTCTGCACAGCTCTGGAGCTAGGTCATCTTCGTTCATCATCTTGAATTCCCGATGTAGAAACACATAGCTAGAGCATTCAAAGATATTCTTTCCGTTTGGCGTGAAGGGAGCATCAGGTACCAATCCGTTTTGCATAAACATCGTCTTTATTAGGTTTAGTCTTAATCGGATTTTTTCACAAGCGTTGTCTAATTTGGCCAGCATTCGTTCCGTCTGCCCGATGTTCGTTGTTATAAGCACGATGCCGTCTGCAAAGCGGAGGTGATGTACGTAGAGGCCGTCGACCTTCCTTCCCAAGTCTTCCCATTCCAAATGAGGTATGATGTTCTCGAGAGCGACACTGAAAATTTTGGGCGAAAAGATAGTGCCATGCCGGACACCTCTTCACGTTGATAATGACTTCTTCGTAGAATGGCGAAATCCTGGTCGTGAAGTTGTCGTAGAGTTCACGAAGCATCCCTATATATATTGAAAAGGAACACCCTGGTAGCTCATGGCTTCAATTACCGCTTCTGTCTCGACGGTATCAAAGGCAATCGATGAACGTAAGACATATTTGTACTCCGCGATACTTCAATGAGTTATGTAAGAGTAAGGATATGATTGGTTCTGCTGAACCTCTTCGAAACCCTGCTTGCTCACATGGCTGTCCCTAATCTAATATTCTGCAGATCCCGTTCAAGAAGAAGGGAGTGAAAAGCTTGTAAATTACAAGTAGGAGGCGGATTGGGCGACAATTGCCAGTATCGATGGATCCCCTTTCTTGTACAACAGTCTTGCTAGTTTTCCACGACGTGAGCACTTTGAATTCTGACAGGTACCGCGTGAAGAGCCTAACCAGAGATCTGACAATAACTGCTAGAAGACTCTTCAGATATTTTGGATTGATCCTATCAGGGCCGGGCGCCGTACAACTCTTCATCGCCGTGATGACGTGTCGTATTTCAGAATGGAGAACCGAAGGAGCGACATATTCGTCCCGCTTGAGATGATGGCTAGGCAGGTAGACATGGCTATCGAAAAGATCCGAGTAGAAGTCGTAGATGACCTTGTCCATCGCCCTTCGAGATCAAATAATGGTCAACTGTTAGTAACAAACACACGGCAGCACCATGATGTCCTACGAGCTCACGAGGGGCACCATCATATTGTTCTCGACTCAAGGCAAGCAGCACCATGTTTCCCACAGCACCACCATACCCTGCGGGCTCACGGCAGCTCGCGGGCTCACGGCAGCTCCCTCATGTTGTCCTGGCCTCAGGGCAAGCAGCACGTTGTCTCGCATTCTGATGAGCAGCACCGTTTCTCGTGGCTAGCACACGGCAGCACCAAAATGTCCTGCGTGTTCGCGAGAGATCCGTCATATTGTTCTGGAATCAAAGCAAGTAGCACCATTTCTGCCACAACATCACCACATCCGGCGGGCACACGGTAGCTCGCAGGCTCATGGCAGATCCCTCATTTTGTTCTGGACTCGACGCAAGCAGCACCAAGTCTCCCAGCTTCCTTCAAATTGATGAAGGTAAGGCATAACGGCATCTAGAACTCCCGCAATGTTTCAATGGGTCTTGTAATGGTGTGGATGTGTTCGACTGTGCCGAATCCTCTACGAAACCCTGCTTGCTTGCATGGCTGTCCCTCACGACGAGGGCCATATGCGAAACCGAAAATAAATGACTGAGGAGCTGACAGACATTTGGTGCCAAAGCCTGTGCACTAGCCCTTTATATGCCTCCACACTAGGCGCCTAGTTTAATTTGAAATTCGAAATGAGTCGCGATCTTCCCACACCTGTAGCCTTATAGCACGTTTGTTCGAGGCCGTGAAACACGGCACCGCAAAAATTTCAAGTGAAAGCCGACGTGTGGCGTATTCTAAAGATCTTCATTACTACAAAGCAATCAGTTACGGTATTGTTATTCCGGAGTGAGCAAATAAATAATTACCCGTCCCTACTCGTAAAGTATTGGCGTGATTCAAGTTAACATAATCCATAGTCTCGAAGCGATATGAGGTATGGTATTAAGGTACTCGGGTGCGATGGGAATGCGCCGTACACTCAACTTAATGTATCGTTGTGGCATTTGGCACATCTAGGTAATTTATGCATCTCTCGTATTTATTCCTGAACAGAGCATCCCTATCGTACGCTAAGAGCTGTTGTCAAGGGAACATGGAGGCTTGTTTGATTTTAGAGCTAAAATTGACACTCCGCCAGTTTCTGGCTAAGGAGTCCCTCGTCCTCTCAGAAGATTATTGGCAAGAAACAATCCAAAAAATAAAAGAAAGGAAAAAATGAAGAGAAAATAGGCAGAAGCCATAAGTTCATCTATGATTCTAATGCAGCATACCTTAACAGAACATAAAACGGACGTCACTGTCGGTACAAAGAATATCAGATGACCGGAGCTGTTCAGCTGAAAGCGTATGAATGAGCTGGTCTCCGCTTTGAATACTTGCTTTATCTAACAATTTAGCTACTCTTCACAGAAACTCACCTGAAGAAACTTCTTGTAATCCTCGCGAAAGTCTTGCGACGATTCTCTAAAAGTTAAGAATTTCGATCTAATCATTTCCGTAGTAGAGAACAAAGGGCAGATCAGCATGTAGGAACGATGGAGAGAGGGATGGGAGGGAGAACGGGTGGTTCTGTGGGTTCCAAGAACAAGAAGCGGGATGTATTGCTACTTGGCTATCTTCTTATGCACGATTCTTTTTACGAATGAGCCATGCAGTCGTTGGCATCTAGAATAGTTAACAGTTTAATATTATATGCACATTGGGCCGATATCACTAGATCCTCATTTCTGGTGTTCGTTCTAGGTAAGTGACGAAGACGAAGTGACTCAGCCACGGTTGAACTCCAATTCCAGACAGATGCGAAGCAAATGATAAAGCGCGCTAATAACTACACTATCATTCCACTCTTTTATTCAATTTTATCAAAGAGTAAAGGAAGAACTGTAGAGAAGTAGGTACGTGTGGGATTAGTAGAAAGTGGGATTACTGGTTACTTCAGAGATTACGTCGGAACAGCTATCGAAAAGTAAAGTTATCAGAACTCACGCCTGAGTCACTGTCACCTCCGGGATCCAGACTTCTTCTCGGCTCAGATAAATTCTGTCGATACCACAGTGTTCTGACGGATCCCACGNTATTGCTACTTGGCTATCTCTCTTTCTTATGCACGACTCTTCTTACGAATGAGCCATGCAGTCGTTGGCATCTAGAATAGTTAACAGTTTAATATTATATGCACATTGGGCCAATATCACTAGATCCTCATTCCGGTGTTCGTTCTAGGTAAGTGACGAAGACGAAGTGGCTCCGTCACGGTTGAACTCCAATTCCAGACAGATGCGAAGCAAGTGATAAAGCGTGCTAACAACTATATTATCATTCCACTCTGTTATTCAATGTTATCAAAGAGTCAAGGAAGAACTGCAGAGAAGTAGGTACGTGTGGGAATAGTAGAAAGTGGGATTAAAGGTTACTTTAGAGATTACGTCGGAACAGCTATCGAAAAGTAAAGTTAACAGAACTCACGCCTGAGTCACTGTCACCTCTGGGATCCAGACTTCTTCTCGGCTCAGATAAATTCTGTCGATACCACAGTGTTCTGACGGATCCCACGTGAGACGTTCATCGTCCCAGTCCTAAACTTGCTGAACGTCTTGCAGAGAAGAGGCGTTTGCGTAGAAACATAACAGGCTGAGCGTATTTCACATGAACAATTCCTTGTAACCCCTAACTGTTTTTCAGTAACTCAAGTCCCTTTTTGTTTATGTTTTTTGTCTGCTGTTTTTCTCTTTCTTCCCCTATTCTCTTTTTTCCTTTCATTTTTTAGAATTCGGCTATGCTGTTACTGTTTGGTTCTGTAGCATGTCATCCTATATACTAACTTAGCAATCAAATAAATTCCTGTAAGTAAAGCTCACCATTTGATATTCGAAGATAAAATCAACCTTCTGCTCGGGTTCATCCTGAAGTTAGCAGTTGGAGATCAGAGCTTTCACAGGGAGTATAGGAAGTTAGGGCTTACCATACGCTTCAGCTTCAAAAAACCCAAAGAGAGATCTAGTTCTAACCGTGGAATGTCGACACCATCACTTTCTAAAGTATTTTGGGCAAAAGAACTTCTAGCACTTATGAAATAATAATGATTATTATGAATAAATCAATCAAGAACATCAAATTTACAGAAAAGAATTTTTCTGAGTAAAACAACGTACTGGTTACTAGGATAGGAACTTTCGGATTGTAATTTTCCAATAGTTTCTTCCTGAGCAACGCCTCTTCTCGTACAAAATCGGTTCGATCTAAGATATTAATTTGAGAAAGGCGGTAATTACTGATTCATAGAAGAGCCCTTCTTGAGAATGTGGAACACTAATGTTAGAGATACTCCCAACAACGCTTATGAGGTGTGAACTTCCCCAAGAAGCTGGTCCGAATTTCCTACAAGAAGAATCTCGAGTGGACTACAGAACAAAAGACATTTTTTTTTCGAAAACCGCTTTTTTCCATTTAGTGCAGGTGTTACAGCAACTGAACTTGGAGACGGAGGGCTTTTATGCTCATGTTAAACATGAGGGATTTATGTATCGGTAGCGAATGAGGGAGTGAACCTGAGCAAATGAGGGAGCGGACAGATCGGCTCGAGAGTTTAGTGCAGGGTCTTTATCCACGCAGCAGAATGAGGTTCTAGGTAAAACCTTAAATCATCTCACTTTTGAACTCATAAATCCTGTTTTCAGGTTTCCGACCCCATGAGGTCCACCCGAAAATGTAGAGCTCGACTCTTTCAAAACCTGTAGTATTTCCATAGAGCCCCTACTGCAACCTACATTTTCGCATGCAGCGAAGTAAGGTGGGGAAAGTTGCTTCTTTGATACTTACATCTGGATTCATATAGACGTTTTCTTGCTGCAATCGCGCACTTAGTCTCATGAAGTTACGAAACGATTGCAATAAAACTTCAAATAGAATGAAGAAACGTACTGAGTATGGTACAGCAGTGAAGAAGGCCACTGTATGTGACAATCAGAACGGTTACTGTAGCGGCGAACATCGCTAGAAACACCTGCGTGAATGGCAGCGCTAAGATCACAAGTCAGCTAACTGCAACCATGTGAAAAAGTGTTTGCTTAGGGGGGAGGGAGTTCATTTATGCTGAGTTTGTTTAATGGTTCGCCGCAAATGAACTATGAGTAACTATTTGAACGAGTCGGAGAGTAAAGTTCATAGAGTACGCGCAATTACCGAAAAGTTCCTCCCCTAAAGTTCTGGATAAAGAGAAGTAATTGAATCTCAAAAAGGCCCATTAATAGATGAATAGAAGCGAATACATAAAAACTCATCATCCGACTAAATCATGTGCGAGAACCTTCTCTGTAAGTATTCTTGGAATGCCCAACATTGCGAGGTCCCTCCTTGTTGCGTCATTGTTGTCAATTACTTTTGAAAAGTTCCCGTGTTACTAAAGTTTTCAAATTTTTGGAAGGACCATCCACTGAATCAAAAAATTTCGGCGACTATACGGTCATCCTTCAGGAGATCAACCTGCGATTGCAGTCGGTAAAATTTTTTCGAGGGATCTGTGTTTCCCATTAATTTTTGGTTTCACTGAAATTTCAAATTTCATACCAAGCTCGTTTACTGAGCCTTTTGTTGCCATATTCAGACCCGTTTTTTTCAGAATCGCAAAAGATCTGCATTCAGAGCACGAGCCTATCTTGCGATGAACTCCACCCAGGAGGCGCCGGTGCTGTGATCAGGTCACGGTTACCTAGTGTACATAAGGCATGGTTCTTTGAGGCTCATCTGAAAAACAGAGCCATCAACACTACAAACGAAAATATTGAACTTTTGCACTTGAACTCATGGCAGCGCCAATCCTGGAAGAGTATTTTAAAAGTGTTCCTTGAGAAGGAGAATTTATGGACTTATTTGTTATACTGGCAGTAACATTAGATTGCTCTAAGAAATGGTAATGGGCTGAGGTCTACAGAGGTTTTCATGGAAGTACAACAACACATGGAAGACCTCAAAGCTTTCGCATCAACCTTAACTATATGAGCAGTTGAGGCCATCTTTTTATGGTTGCCTCGATTTCTTAGGGGACGGAAAAATATCGAACGAAATAGCAAAATTATCAAAGAGTATCATCAAATCCATTTATCACCTATTCTCATACACGAGACATAAAAAATCAGTAAGCACAAGTTCTTCGTAAGCATAAATATCATCAGTTGACACGAAGAAGGCAACTCGATACTATTTACATCTATACATGTACATACAACTAGGTGGGCAGATTATCCTCCAGCAAGACCTCCGATCATGGCTCCGATGAGAGCTCCTCGAAGTGCACCTCGCACTGGATTACCGTACATGCCGCCGACGTAAGGTGAGTAATATGGATGGTAACCGCCGTAGTAGCCTCCGTAATAAGGTGCACCATAATAGCCATATTGAGCAGCTACATTGGTGAAAATGAATGTGATCAGAAACAAACAAGCCAATATGTTCCTTAGCATCCTGAAAGTATTCTGAATTCGCTAACAAACTTTCCCATGAAACGGAAGCAACATGGGATAACAAAGTATGGGTAAGCCATGGCAAAGAAGTCCACAAAAAACCTTTCAGGTTCTCCTATTCGGCAGAAGGGACACAAGAGTAAAAGAGCAATCGATATGGGCAAAAAAATCCTGATGGCTCATACAGACCGATCAAGCAGGTAGCCCCTAACCTTCTATGACCCTCTTATAAAGCCTGTGGTCTATGGTCGACTGAAAAACCTGTTCGTAGCACTGTTTGATAAATAGAGAGGACCTCGCGTGGCTCCCACTTCCGTGACCTTCAATTACGTTCATGGGCAGCGAGCACTGTGAAGTACACGTCAACAGTCATGGTGGATATGTAGATGATTTGCCTTCGATCCATGGCAACTCCCATGCATTGAAATGAATAAGGCTCGAGCTGACTGTAGGGCAAAGTCCTTCGCACGTGCACGTCGCCTACCAAGACCTGCAGTGACCAGCCGATATATAATCCACGAATTTTATCGTCCCAGCTAGATCTATCAAAATACCTCAAAGAAATAGAACGGAAGGGGCTCAGAATGGTGTAGGCGTTACTCGCGGAGAAGGCAGAATTCGAATTATTACCATGTGTGCATTACTGTACCAACGGCATCACGCTAGTTTTTTTTTTATACTTTTCAAAAAGCATACAAAAAACAGTAATTTACAAACATTCAACTTCTGGAAGGAAAAAAATTTGGTAAAAATCGTTGGCCGCAATTAGTTTCCTAGTTGTTGTTGGGGGCTATACAACAGGTGTCCGACGGAAACTGCTTTGTTTATCGGAGATACACGATGGTTTTCGCCGAACATGTTGCTTTAGAGGCTAGTTCTGCGTAGAGGTCATATAGGTTTACCGAAAACATTTCACAATCAGTGATCTTTGCATAACAGTCTATGTGATCAAGGTCCGCTCTTTTCCTTTGAACCAACGACACGATTATTTTGGAATTTTTGGAACCGAGAAATTCCGTGAGTTTCAATGAATGATTTTTAGAAAGCATTGAATAAGAAAAAAGGGATGCAAAGTTTAAAAACTTGAATTTCACAATCAGTGATCATTGCTTTGATCCGAGACACTCAAGCAGAGTTCAAATTCAAGAATCAAACGAAGTCAGCCGATAAAAATCACAGTCAAAATGAAAGCATAAAATCCTATGAATAATACTTATAAAAAAATATGTGAAATTTATAGAATGGAACCCGAACCCACTCATTTGCTCACTCTTTGAAATTAAAGTTTCTGATTGGTTGGATGCGCTACAGTATTTGTAGCACACATTGAAGTTCGGGTAGTGCAATTGGCCCAACAAACAAAGGGAAAGAGTAGTGAACAGAAAGCAAAAGGATGGAGATACGGGCAGATCTCCCACTGGGTCTTAGGTCAATTTCGCGGCCCATTGCCAATCCTCCTCAGGAGAATTTCGCGGCCTCTTGCTGATTCTCGATGGGATCTATACAGAAAGATTCACGGCGAAGGAGTTAAAGATGCGCGGGATAGATGAAGAACTAATACTGAAGCTGAAATAGCAAAGCACGGCTTAGGATTCCAGTAGGATTTCCTCAATGCTTCTTCATGCTACTATCTTGCCTTTTTTCATTTTTTCTCCGTTACCTCCTTTCCTCTTATGAAGCGCGTTTTCCTTATCAGCCTTGGGCTTTATCTCCAAGCGCCTTCCTTTTCTTCTTTTATATTTACTGTTATTGTTGTCGTTGTTGTTGTCTTCGTTGTTGACATAGTATCGCTGGCTTAGAGTTCTGCTCCTGTGATATGAACGATGGGTTCCTAAGAGGGTTTTTTGGTGTCAATCAATCGCGTCTGAGGAATGAACCCCTGCATTTAACTCCCATGAATGCGTATTTGGCGGGTCTAGTACAAATTAATTACTCGCAGAAGGATGAGACTCATGGCTGGCCTGGGCGAATATCGATCCAGGATTCGGACTCGTGACCACGCGTGTGTGATAGTGCGTCACTTGGGGTGTGGTGCGATTCACGCGCCAATATAATGAGGTCATCGGGCAAAAAGCGCTAAAACATCATGCGTACTATCATAACGGAAGAAATAAGAACTTAAAAGTAGAATAAGTAAAGAATTGACCAATTATGCACGTTTACAGATGGATTGCGTTCTCTAGAATCAAAAAATTTTAAGGTATTCTTATTTTGAACATTTGACGAGTAAATTGTTGACCTATGAGGTGAATTCTTAATCTCGAAGGGGCTTTTTTGCTAGAGTAATGAGATTTGCTCTATTCATGGTGAAGCCGTGGACTGCTGCAAGTTTATTTGGTTCATCTCAACAGAAAGGTACTGAAACGATGCTGCGTGCGCGAAGAGCCTAATGGGGTCACGCGTGATTCGCGCGCCCCCCCCCCGTCACTTGCCATTACGCCCTCTAGAAATTTTCAAAGGGTGAAAGTATGTAGTCCTGGGGCGTCAATCGATCCCGTCCGAGGGGTGCGCCCATGCACACCACTTCCATTCAAAATCTTAGTGGCGTATGAATGCGAATGGGCCCCATACAATGACTTGCGGTGGCCAGCCGATGTGCAAGTCAGTGCTTTTATCCTCTCGGACGAGCATGGTACCAATTAACCGGCCCCGGAGAAAGGAAGGCCCTGTTGGATTGGGCGGATATCGATCCAGATTCGATTCCGTGACCATGCGTGTGTTATAGTGCGCCAATTGCCACTACACCACTTCCGCCCCTAGAGTTTATTATGTATAGGCCAAAATACTTTGCTCTTCAAAAAACATAGGGTCAAAACTATATCACGTTAATGAAAACCCTAAACCCTGCTAGAGATGCAAGAGTGGGTTCTCAGCAGACTGACCTTGATGCGATGTAAGAAGAGACTTTAACCGTTCCTTCCCTAATCCGAGACTCTAGGAATTTGAACTCTCTCTTGGCGTTGAGCTACTTCTGAGCGGTCATCAAAATTCATTAGGTCATGCTGGGTCTTTAATGTGAATCCTTGCCCACCAGGTCACTTATTGGAAGACGTAAACACAAACCAAGAGCCTCTGTTGCCGAAATTTTTGTATTAGACCAAAACTGCGTCTTCCATAGGATGAGCTAATTCCACCTCAGTAATGTATTCTACTGGAGTTGGATATCATGAGAACTGAGTAGAACTCCCTCTCACATGAGCGGGAGTACGTTGACTACGACACCTGCCTGTGCAACGAAATGCTTTACTGTTTTGATTTTAGTGCGGAAGTGTTGTAGTGGTAAGAGGCGCAATAACACACACGTATGATCACGGATTCGAATCCTGGATCGGTATTCGCCTAAACCAACCAAGCCTCTCATCCTTCCGGAGCCGATTATTTGTACACGACCGGGGGAGGGTAAAAGCACTGACTAGTACATCGACTGTCCACCGCAAGTCATTGTATAAGCAACATACGCATTCCATACTTCACTACGATTTTGAACGGAAGTCAAATGCGTGGGCGCATCCCTCAGATGGAATTGATTTACGCCCAAAGTCTTCATCCTTTATTTATATTCAATATAGAGATGGTTTTGTGCCAACGCTTTCGTAGGCGTATCTGATAAATAGTCTGATAAATAAATGAATAAATAAATAGATACGTAAACAAAGTGAGCACCAGCAAGAGGGAACCTGATTGTCAGCTGATCCTTTTTTACTGCACATTCAGCGGAATCATCAACTGTCAGAACAAAACCCTTTCTACAAGATTTTGTGGCCTTCGTTTCTACAAGCCATCCCGCCACTTTCACTTTTATCCTTGAGCCCCAATACTGAAGGCTACGCACCTGCTTCAAAATTAACTTGTTTTCTTGTTGGGAAGAACCTTCGGCCTATTGAAAGGGCTCTATTGGTCATTGTTCAGCTTAAGACCTAAAATATGTGGAATATGGGCTCGAAAACCGTCGTCCACTGCTGCTAATAACTCTCAAGAAAGATCGTGTTCAGTGTCGTTGTAGAGAATCGGTGACTGTCAGTCCCAAACTCGTTTCCAGGAGCATGTGTGAGTGATATAGCATTACTCACCAGTATACTACGCCGCTCCATAGTCTTTGAAAAGTTTAGTTGGAAAACTTTCATTTCGAGAACTTTCTGAGTTCCAAAACTTTCATTACCACTGTTGAGCTAATCTGCAGCATTATTTTCGCTCTGTAGCGCAGAGAACGACTTGAAGTTGATCTAAACCTCAAAACCGATAACATCGTGAGCTGCCTCGATGAAGTACCAATCATCGTTGCAGCGAAATGTTGCCGCTTTGAAAGTGAATTACTTTCAAGCAAATTTCACCCTGTGTGGCCCACTTTATCAATAATTCATCATCCCCACCATCGACTTTTATGAAATATACCTACATGTGCCTATTTGATGCTTTAATCTTTTTCTTCTATGCAAGAAACTTTCGTTGATCACTATTCGATAGGTCGATAGGATAAAAGGATCAAGTCATGGGGCTTTAATAGATCCCGTATGAGGGATGCGCTCACGCATTTGCCTTCCATTCAAAATCGTAGTGACGTATTGAATACGTACGTGGTCTATACAATGACTTTCGGTGGCCAGCCAATGTACAAGTCAGTGCTTTCATCCTCTCACACGAGTCTAGTACCAATAAGCCGAACACAGAGGGATTGAAGGCTTGGTTGTCAAGGCGAATAACGACCCGGGATTTGAACGAGTGACCATAGTAGGAGATAGTGCATCACTGGCCACTATAACACTTCCGCCCCTAGTAGTCATAATAATAATAGTAATAATAATAACAATAGTAGTAAAATAACATGATTCAAAGGCATAATCCAAGCTGGTTTTTGAATATTTCTTATAGGTTTGATTAAATACGGCCATTACTAAGTCGGCAAAAATCTACGTAATATGTATAGATCGGCACATAGTATGTAAGAAACCTTCAATCGTGGTTTCGTTGCATTTCTTGCATTGAAATCACTATTGTCAAAT